AACAACTTTAGAAGCTTACTAAAGAATAATCCATTTTTGGCCAGCTGAGTGGCTCAGTTGGTTAAGAGTTGGCTTAAGAGCGCGAGCTCTGAGCAACAGGGCTGCCGGTTCGATTCCCACATGGGCCAGTGATGCTATGCCCAAGCTGAGCTGCCGCTGAGCTGCCAACAGGTGGCAGGATGGCTCAACTGGAGTAACAAGAAGATTGCCTGTTCAAAGGTGGGCTACGCCCAGCCGCAACTACGACTGAACTCGGCACCTTGAGCTGAGCTGCTGCTCAGATGGCTCAGTGGATACAGCGTGCACTCTTAACAACAAGAATGCTGGTTCGACTCCCGCATGGGATGGTGGCTATGCCCACCCACAACTAAGACTGAACACAGCACCTTGAGCTTAGAGGCCACGAGCTACCGACGGGAAGCCAGATGGCAACTGGCGTCCACCACAATGAATATTGAAGAACAACTTGTCTGTTCCCCTTCCCCAATTCCCCAACACTGTTCCCCTCCCCCAATTCCCCAATAAAATCTTAAAAAAAAAAAAAAAGAATAAGCCATTTTGCAAAGGATATATCCTTGCCAGTTTCATTCTCTACTTCTACATCTTCCATGGACTCAAAGTATTGACTCCAAGAAACAGGGGAAAAGTCTCGCTTTCTTCCAGGGCTAAGGAAATAAAAGAGAGAGATTTCAAGTGAAAAAGTTATCCATAAAAAGATAAAATCTTGACAAACAAATGCTAAATGTAAATCTGAAATGAAAATACCAAGGATATTTTCTCTTAAAGATATGAAAAGTTTTCATACACAATTAAAAATGTGTTTCTAAAAGTTCAAATACAGATTTAAGAGTAAGAAAATTTAGAATTTTAGGAAATTCATTAGCAAATTTTAACCACAGACGTATTCCAATGTATATACACACCACAAAACCTGCTAGTTCTCTCTTCTTGTTCTTGGCTTTAGGCTCATTCCTATCCTTTCAACCTACTTTAATATCATTCCTGCTACAATCATATTTGGTCACTATTGTTTCTTCATACCTTTAATTGCTTACATTATTTCACGTTTGTCATTTCATAACCAATAAATACACAACCTACATAGAAAGCAAATTGCCAATATTCATACCTTCAATTTCTAGAAATTTATTCAAATATATGGTCACAAAGAAGTGAAATGACATCTATTCCATGTAGCATCATTTGTAATAGAGAAAAATTGGAAACCTAAACATCCATCAAGATGAATGATTAAAAGAAATTGTGGTACATAGAGAACTAATAGTCGTAAAAAAATGAAACATTTATATACTCATAAATTTTTTTATACATGGATAATATACATTGTCAAGTAAACAAATGATGCACATACCACCATTTGGGTAAAAATGGGAAATACGTATAATTGCTTATATATGTTTAGAATATCTCTGAAAGAATACTGATATAACATTAATGGTGTCCTGGGAGATGAGAGGGACAATTTTCAATGTATATCCCTTTCTAATCTTTTTATTTTTGAATCATGTATTAAAAAAGACTACTTTAAAACAAAAATAACCAATAAATGTCTGTTTACAGCCTATGTCTTCAACTTTAGATGGGACACAAGAAAGAAACCCTGAGTGTTCCCCTATTTCCACACTTATTCTTCTTCCCAGTAGTGGAGGGAATTCAGAATTCTAGGGAGCAGCAAAACATTACCTCCTGCCAGACATCTTCCTGTGTATGGCATGGGACTAAATGGAGAATACGTACAAAGTGTAACACGAAGACCCCTTTAAAGACTTAAGTAAATACAGAAGCACTCTTGGTTGACTGTAATACTGGAAAGAATTACAATGGAGTAGTTGGGCAGTCAGGTACGTATTCTTTCAACAGTCAAACATTTATTGAATATCTGTTCTCTTGTAAGTATTGAGACAGGTCAGTAGTTCTCAATTCATGTAACAATAAAATCACCTGGGGAACTTAAAAAATACTGATACTTGGGTCTCACTTCCAGAAATTGATTTACATGGTCTGAGGTGTGGCCTAGGGACTATTTTTTAGAATTCCCCAAGTTGAGAGACAGGTGCTAGGAATACAAAGGTAGAGTATATGATTTGGAATAAGAGAGGAGTTCAAATCCTCACAGTTCCTACTATTTCCCTGTAATTCCCCACAAACTCCTAATAATATGGGCTTGGGCAAATTCGAATTACTTAAACTCCTTCTGCCTTGGATTATAGTGATTGAATAAAATAACATATTTTAAAACAATCTAATCCATCTGGCATTTGGTAGTTGCTCAGTAAATGAATAATTCTATCTTGTGATAGAAAAACTGCCTCTGTGGAAGTAAACTACAACTTCAGTCTAGACCAATTTTTTTTTTTTTTTGGTCTGCTTTCACTTGAATTCCTACTGGAAAACTAAAAGCAGAATTCTTAATTCTATCTACTCATCAGTCACTCACAAATCCACCTATGCATATGCTAATTTCAAGAATAACAACCACAACATGGCATGCCAGACATGTTATAATGGATTCTAAGGGTCTATTATGTGAATTGAATTTTGATGTCTGGACCTAGGATATCATCATAGTAATAGTACCTAACTAACATTTTACTGTACACAACAGTGAGTCATTGTTCCAATTTATTTACATGATTCCCTTTAATCCTCACAAAACTTTGAGTTATTTTTATCCCCACTTCAAAACAAAAAAGATTTAGAGATATAAAGGAACTTGCCCATGATTAGACAACTACTAAGTGGCATTAACAGGATTCAAATCCAGTTCCATCACTCTTCAAAGCCTCTGCTCTTTACCTCAATACTATATTAATAACTCTCAGGGTCCTTTTTACTCTCTCTCTCTCTCTCTCTCTCTCTCTCTCTCTCATTTATGCTTCTGAAAAGTAATAAGGGATATATTATCAGAGGTTTCCTTTTCAGAGTCTAAATATGACTGACTTTGTCAAGGCCACAGAAACTTTCCAAGTTGGCTAGGCACGAGTTAAAGAAAAATTACTTCCTATAAACAGAAATTATTCTTAGAATACCCTCCATCTCTAATTTCCTTCATTTAAAAAAAAAGTTCCAGGCCGGCCGAGTGGCACATTGGTTAAGAGCTGGCTTGGGACACCAGCTCTNAAAAAAAAATGAATAAGGCACAGTCCCTAATCTCAAGGATCTCATGATCTAGCATCATAAATATCAATCATAGTTGTTCATCTCTTCCTTTGGCTATCAAAATCCTTGTCCTCCTGCTATGCTAGTGCCTTTTTGCTTATATTTTACTGCCTTCTATTTTACTAATTATAATCTGGGTGAAGTTCTGAGGGAAATTCTGCCTCTCATGATTATGAGGTGCTTAAGCTTATTCCTGCTCTTCGCCAGTGCTGCCTTCTGGATCCTCAGACATGTTCCAGTGCTTGAGGAAATATGAGCTCTGGAGTCAAGTCAATTGCTAGAGCACTAACTTTTATGTAGCCATTTTTGTTTTCAAAGCATAATCACATATAAGCTCATTCAGTGGCTGGTACATTTTTAGGAAGAACAACTACAAAAAAGGGCAGACAAATTTAACCAGCCAAAGTCCAAGCTGTAAACTGAGTGGTAGAGAATTCCCTTGGTTACACAAGTAAGCCAGGTAAGCAATTGGGACATAGTAATCTATCTATAAAAGAGTTTCACAAAGTGTGGGACACTAATAGATGTTTTAGAAAAAAGGAATTGAGTGGTCAAATACATTTAAAAGATACAGTTAAATTAAAGATTTCTCTAGAAGAACATCCTAAAGGCTTTAATAATATACTGATATGTAGGGTGAATTTCCAAGAGAGAGATTAGAGAAGAATATTATATATAATATTTCCCAAACTCATTTAATCACAAAATCCCTACTTCATTAATTACTCATGAAATTTGTAATCTGTAGAATATATTTTGGTAAAAGAAGAACTAGATATATCTTCTACAATGATAACGAGTATAATAATGTCAGCAGCTACTTATCAATCACCTCCTCTATGCCAGGCACTTACCATGTTATTTCACTGTTCCTCTCTATGAAATAGAAATATTTAATATCAATACATGTCAACAAATAGCTTATTATAATAGTATTTGTACAAGGCTATAATTTACAGTTTTTATATCCATTATTTTACATAATCTTCAAAGAAACCTTGAAGTGTAAGGAGACTGCACTTGGAGAATAAAGGCTTACATGGCTTACTCAAGGGCTTATGGGGCTTCCTCAAGGATGCTGATAAAATCAGGGATAGAAATCACATCTTCCAACGCCTACTTCATTGTTCCTTCCCTTAGTGTCAAAATCAATAGATATTTCATGGAAAGTCTGTTCTAGCCCCATCTAGATCCCTCATCTTTAAAGACTCTGAATGCTCAAACAAGTAACATTATCTCTGATTTTGCACTAGAGTACTAGGGAGCTGCTCAAAAGTTTCAAGAATATAGTGAGGCTACCTCTGGCCCACATATGTAATTCTCATCACATTTTATAAAATTTTATAACCCATTAAGCATTACTATCCTTGGAACAAAGCTTTTCCTATCCATAAGCTACTTTTTGAAATTTCTGAGGCAGAGCCTGGAGTTACTATCCCTAGCAAGTTTTAATACAGTGTGTGACTATGACATGTTAATTAAGATGGTGCCTTTTTCCTCTCCCCTATCACACATCTCTTTTCTTCCATGTCTCCAACATGTTAACTGCCTGTGACAGTATATTTATTAGCTTAGAGCAGAGCCAGGCAAGTCGCGGCACATGAGCCATTTCTGGTGACTCTGACCTTGGTTCAGGACAACCAGAGTACATTTACTACCATAACTATCACATTAGGAATATGTTGCTATTATTTGTTCATTCAAAAAATATTCCTTGAGCATACAATATGTGCCAGGCATAAATAAGCCATGATCTTTGCCTCTAAAAAAGCTCACAATCTAGTTGAGGAATGTAAATGACTAAATCTATGCTACTAAGGGTTTGCAATATGGCTAGTCCAAAATGACATACACTGTATCACCGGATTTCAAAGACAGTATTAAAAATAATGTGAAATATCTCAACAGTAATTTTTATATTGATTACCTATTGAAATGATAATATTTTGGGGACAGTGAATAAAATATTAAAATTAATTTTCACCTGTTTCTTTTAACCTATTTAATGTTCCTACCAGGAAATTTTAAATTACATATATGGCTTGCATTATATTTCTATTGGACAACAAAGGTCTAGAGACATGAAAGAGCTTGCCACTTAAGAGAAAATCATGCAGCTATGTCCTAAAGTAAGAGAAAGAAAGTAGCAACTGATTTAATCATTTATTAACAGTTGAATAAGTGCCTATGTGTCAAGAACTGTTTTGGGCATTTGGGAAACAAAAAAGAGGTAAGACATTATCCCTCAAGGAATTCATAGTCTAATAAAAGAGATGAGAGGTACTTTTATACTTAATCCCAATAATCCTACTGCCAGGAACAAAATGATATATTTGGGGCCTTCCTTAACTCCACAGTCGTCTGCTTCTAGGTACCTAGTACTGCATTCCCACTTGCTCCCATTTTCTGTCCTTCAGACTCCCTAGTGGTAAACAGAGGAAGAACATATATCTGCTTGATACATATAAGAAGAGGTGACAATTTC